ATCCCTCCCTCTCTCTTTTTATTCTCTTCTTCCTTCCCTTCCCCAGCATTTCTCTACTTTCTCCTCTATTTCTCCATTCCTATGGTGCCATGCCAAGGGTAGGCAAATACTAGCCCATGGGCCGGATCCAGTCCACTGGAGTTAGACCTTGGTGGGCCCTCACCAGTATATTTACCTGCTCATCTGCAGGTATCGGCAGGTGTCCAAGTCTGCACTGTTTCCCGCTGCTCCCATTGGCTGGCTGTGATTGCTGATACCTGCAGAGGTGCAGGTAAATACAACTGTGATGGCCCAGTTGGGACTAACCTTAGATGACTGTTGCCTTTTTATTGTCCACCCCTGTGCCATGCAGACAGCGGCACGTTCCACCTCTTCTCCTTCCCCTCCCAATCCACTTGTCCAACATAGCACCTCCCGTTTCTCCCCTCTTTACCTTCCATCACTGTCAGGTTCACTGTTGCAACTGCTGACACATCTAAGCCTCGCACTGTTACCCGGTACACGCCAGCATCCTTGGGCTGCACCCCCTGGAGCACTAGGGAAGCATTGTGGAAGGAGAGAGTTGCCCGCTGATGGTACAATTCTGCCAGATCCATGCTGTGCTGGCAGGTACGCTCCTGTGATTCACGGAGCCTGGTGCAACTGTCCACCATGTAGACCAGGATGGGACGATTGCCTGTGACGAACTCCCACTTGACATGGTAGAATTCCCACGCCGAGTTTGCAAATTGGAGGGAGATGGGCAGGACTGCCACCTGGCCAGGGTACACCCACACCGGGTTCTGCAGTGTAAATACAGAGAGTGCAGCTGTGGTGTCTGCATGGGGAAGAGAAGAGGTTTAAAGGGAACATTAGCATCTTCTAAAACAGTGTTTCTTAAACTGCGTTTCTCAGCACACTGGTGTGCCATGGAGAACAATAGAGTTCAAAATGGCAGCCCTTAAAGAGGCAGGCAACCTTTTTTTTTTTTTTTGTTCAATAACAGGGAACATTAGCATCTTCTAAAACAGTGTTTCTTAAACTGTGTTTCTCAGCACACTGGTGTGCCATGGAGAACAACAGAGTTCAAAATGGCAGCCCTTAAAGAGGCAGGCAACCTTTTTTTTTTTCAATAACTCCCCTCAACAAAAAATCCTTGGCGTTCCTCATAAAAATATTATTGATTGGTGTTTCTCCGTCTTAAAAAGTTTAAGAAACCCTGTTCTAAAAGATGCCCGAGTGATCTCCCATAAGCATTGGGCTAGCTGAAACTAATGTGCACGCCATGCAAAGCCATCCAGTTGGCTTACTGGTCTGATGACTCTGGCAGCCGAACACTGGAGTCTGTGTCACCCCCTATTCATAGTGGCAGCTACCGAAATATTGATAAAACTGTCACTTTTCTGATTCTAATTACACTTTAGTTTGCCGTTGCCAGAAACACTTTGCCGTTGATGGAAACGTCTTTCTTTAGACACTGAAAATGCTCACCCTTGTGGATTTGCAGAGGAGGGCCTTTGCATTTTTCAGCCTAGCTGGAGTCTGATATAAAAGAGGAAGTCTCTGACCTAGACCAAGGGACAGCTCACTGGTGGAGTTTCCCAACAGCTGGGAATAGGAGGGGTTTGAATTCCTGCAGCAGCATTTCCTTGATCAGTGGGTATCTTCAGCCTTCGCCGTGTCAGTTTGATACTCAAGCTCCTAGGTATCTAGTCATATTTTCAACTTTTATATGTGTGGTGGGGCAGGAGAAAGAAAAGAGGAAGAAGTCAGAATAGTAAGGGGATGATTTTTGGAAGAAGAAAGAAAAGAAAAACTATAGGGAAGAATTAAGAGAAAACCATGTAGAGAAAGGGAAGCCAGAGACATTAAGGCTGTGTCTACATTGGCACCCCTTTCCGGAAAAGGGATGCTAATGAGACATTTCGGAATTGCAAATCTGCGGGGGATTTAAATATCCCCTGCGGCATTTGCATTTACATGGCTGCCGCTTTTTTCCGGCTCGGGGTTATGCCGGAGAAAAGCGCCAGTCTA